TTCGAACACCTGCTGTATTTGTAAAAAAAAAGTGTGATATTTGTCACAAATTGAACATTTTTCACTGCCTTTATTTTCTGGTTCTGATTAAAGTACATGTTCAACTGTAAGTATTCGTCATGTATATGTTTAATTTATAAATTTGTCAAGTTAAAAATTCTGTGCACCAGCCACCACAATCTCCCGATCATAATTCCATAGAGGTAATACTAATGCTATAAATGTTTATGCATTTATAGCGTTTTCTAGCCCGCAAAACATTGCAATAAAGACTTTAACAAAATTTATAAGTATTAACTTATTACACTCGGGAACAACAAAATTTTTTTTATGTTGCCAGGTATTTAAAATGAGTTTCAGAATACTCGAGGATCCTTATTTCGCATTACATCTTCGTTTTAACTAAATGGACTGCGATTTTTAAAATAATCGAAACTGCTGAAATTTAACGTCTGTGTCAATTTGAAATACCTACTACTTTTTCTTTTTTGTTAGTTATCCTCTTCCCAAAACCGTCTTTTGAAATTTGTTTACTTTCCGGTTAATCATTCCCAAAATAAAGAATAAAATCAGTGATTTTATTTTATGTCTAAGGTTAATTTTAGGGAAGTGATTGTGTATTTTTTTTATAACTTTCTAATACTTTCTACGTAATTATTCTGTCTCTTCTTATAACATTTTATAAACAAAATTAGTTCAGAATCATAGAAATTGCTATGGCTCATTTTTCTATTCCTTATTTTTCATAAATATTTAAGACATCTGCATATTTCAAAAGCTAAAGCCAATCACGAAAAAATATTAGCGTATTCAGGATCAGAAGCACTAAATTACTCAAAATCAACTCTTAAATTCCTGACAACAGACTGACTGTTCACCTGTGTTATTAATAACGTACTAAAAACCCTAAGGTAGGAAATCAAATATTTAATTTTATATATTAGTATCCAGAATTGTGATTTTGCAAAAACATCCGCAGTCTACTCATCAGACACCATACAAAAACTGACGTCTCGAATGCGAAAACTCGTGAAAATCGTCATCAAGGAACGTGGTGGTTGTATCGATAAAAAATATAATAGGTACCTGTAAGGTAAACGTTTAATTTTCTATTGGTTAAAAGTTCTTCGATAAACGTTTTTTCGCAATTATGCCACACAAAGTAGGTATCCTGATAGTTATGGTCGGCAGTGTACGTACACCTACAACTAGATGACAGATTGCTGGCGTCGGTCTCTCGAACGAATGCTTATAATAGCACAGATAGACGCGGTTTCGATATGTACACGCACAGTCATGGTTCTCAGGCTGCCTCTCCGCCACGCTATCTACATATTTACATCGCACACGCAACAACCGTGTTAACCTTGTTGCTCCGTGGCCTTTCTAATTTTACGCGAATTTACAACCCAACCAGGTCCTCCTCTTCCCATCTCTTTCCCCATCCCAATACGTGCCATACAGAGCTGAGTAAAATATATATTTTAAGTCGATTATTGGTTCCTATTAATGAACCTGTCCCAATCAATGTGCATTTATATTTAAATACACCGTAAGAAAAAGTTGTAAAAATAAATAAACAAAAATTGTTTTCTTAAATGAAGTTAAACTATTAACCCTTTCATATCTGGTGGTCAGATTTGTGTACATATAGTTTCTTAAAATTTAACACAAAGTTTTGGGTATAATGTGCTGCAGATCCATATTTTTCTTATGAATTTGAATTTTTTCATGTCCTGAATGTTTTTAGTAGGTCTAGTGGTTTCAGAATTGAATAACAAACCTTTTTTAAAAAAAAGTGATATTTCGTTTAAAATTTTGTTTGAACAAAATATCTGAACAGTCCACTGAGTTGAAATGTGTAATCAAATTTTTTTTTACTTTTAAACGAAAATTCTGGTCTGAAAGGTTTAATGTATGTATTACAAACGAAAATATTGTATTCTTAAACAGTTGAAATAAACATTTATATGAAGTGTTAATTATATTGTAATGCCGTGTAATTTGATGAAAAATGGCAAAATAAGCACATTTGAAGCGTTTTGTATTTGTTCAAATGAATCTATTAAGACTACGAGATTTTAATGTTTGTCCTAAACACAGCTATATTAAACAAAAATTTTTTTTGGAGAGTTCAAAATTTAGAGAGCATATTAACCATGGTAAGAGTAAGTATGAAAATAAAATAGTTTCTTTGGTCGGAGTGAGATTTTAAAATAGTAATTGAAGATAAAATTTTGTTTCAGCGACAATTGAAAATGCATGATGCATTGATTTTTAAATATTATATCTGTCTTAATCTATTTTCAGTTTATTCGCACCGCTCGAAATGATCTTGCTGAAAATAACGATATAAATGTTTTTTTCTAAACTTTTTGTTACACGTCATTTTATGGTTTCTTGCGTAATGATACACAATTTCTATTCCCAGCCTGTTTTCATTGTCGAGAAAAATTTGAAGTACCTACATTTTTAAAATACAAGCCTATGTAAAATATTTTATTTTCTAGTTCGAGTTATGAAAATAAAAATATTTTATTAGGTGAAATTTCGTTTCGTATTTAATTTAAAACAATATTTTAATTTTAACAGTATGGCATCAATTATTTTAAATGGTGTGTGAAATACTTTTTTCCAAATTTTACCCAGCTCTGGTGCCGCGTCTGGACACAAAGGTAATCATTTAGTCTTCGGATATTTATGCAATTTCACGGTTTTAAACAGTATAATACAACCGTGAAAATTGAATAGAATTTTATTTCCTGCACTAGTAGTTTTAATATGTTCATTGCAAAGCATAAATAGTATGAAACGTTATTACCACTTCAATTTTAATACATTATAACAGATTAGAAAATTCTATAAATGCATAAAGATTCGCAGTCTAGTGATCATTATACTGCAAATCTGTATGCGTTTATGGTACACTCAAAATAAGCTAACCTCAATACAATAACGACTTTGTTAAAACTGAACGATATATTCATTCTATTGTTAATTTGATTAAAAGAAGAAATAAACTTCTATTATATTCGTTTGTTGCAAAAAGTTGTCATCCATTCTAGGATGCATTAACATTTTAGATTTTTCTAAAAAAATTCTTTTCGATAAAAATTGTATGCTAAACTATGTACACCTATAAATATATTAATATATTAGTACAACGTTGACTGAATTTTATGGTTTTGAAATACTATATGCGTGGTCAGTTTCTCAGGTTTTCTTTTATCTTTTAAAAAACTCATGAACAGAATTTATATGACAATTTAATATTCAACGTGTGTTGTTATAAATTAATTTCCACAGATATCAATTTGCATCAAGATCTGCAGTTTATCAATTGTAGCGTTCCTGACTTGCAAAATGTAGCAAAATAATAACGACAATAACATTTACTAGTATCTACGTATTCTTATAAACATATTAAAACCTCTAATACAGAAAAAAAAATTCTGTTCAATTATGTTTTTCATGTATCAGTATCCGAAATAGTAAATTTGCATAAATATCCGCAGTCTAGAGATAATCAATGTCACCGACTGTTCACTAAAGGAGTAGTACAGTTATTTACTAACTCCTTCCGAATCAACAAAACCGATTCTACCATACGAAAAATAGTAAATATCAAAACGATTCCCTGGAATCTACCTCAATCATTTTCCCCATCGTTTCAACACTAGAACTACCAAAGCGAATAATAGTGACTGGTTCGTAACCTTATACAAAAATGATTACAATATGATAACATTACATGTTTCTGAGATTCTTTGCAATTTTATTGCAATATATAACCGAAAAAGTTCGTTAATTTATCGATTTGGGGATTTCCAACAGGCTGTCCCTTTAACCCTCCGTGATCCCCATTATTTTTACTGCTACCGTCACCCTCCTGGGTATTTTATGTCCAGACCTATTCTTTTTATCTTACAAACTTCCAAAAAATGTAATTAAATTCAGATATACTTCCCACGATCTCTACAACACGATCCAATAGTTTCTAAAGTCGAATGTTAAACGGTTTTTTTTTTAATTGTGAATCCCTTCATTACTGAGATATTCCAATGCGAAATTTCGCTTGTCCCATAAAAAACCCAGGTGGTTCACGAAGGGTTAACACCGATAGTAAACACACCAATGAATGAACACTTAAGAGATTCTGTAACTATTAAAGCCGAATTTTAAATGATACTAATATTAATATATATTTGGCACATGAAAATTCGATATTTCAATACCTACGCCTTTTTATAACGTATAGATTTCAATTTGAAAAATTAGAAAAATGTAATTAAATGAACCAAAAGGAACAAATACAAATATCACCAGTGAATGAACAATATTAAATAAATGAATATTTGAAGTGAAACAAGAAATTGAAAAAAATCAATATTTCATCGCTTATTTTAATGACTTAATTTACTCTTTTTTATATATAATATTCATTCACTGGTTGTGTTCATTTACCGGTGCATCCGCCCAATATAACAAAAACAGAAACACACGTTACTCTTTCGGTACTTCCAGTGTCAAGAAGATTCGCCCACCCACCTATCTTAACCCTTTCAGACCCGGTGGTCATATTTGTGTACAAGAAGTTTCATACAATTTCACACAAACTCTTAGGTACAGTGTGTTGCAGATTCATATTTGTCTTAAAAATTTGAAATTTTTCATGTTCTAAATGTCTTTAGTAGGTCTCGTAAATTCAGACTTGAATAACAAACCTTTTTCTAAAAATTTAAAAAACCTTTTTCTTAAACAAAAAAACCTAACCAATCTACTAAGTTAAAATGTGTAATCAAATACTTTCTTTACTCTTAATAGAAAATTCGGGTCTGTAAGGGTTAAACCACCCTTAGAAAACTATCCATGCAAAAAAGAAAACGAACAATCGAATCGAAAACCAAAATCGAAGATGGCTTGCTCTCGGTTTAGAGGTCAAGACCGAACCTCCAATAAATGCCCGGCCTTCGGGGTAGGGGTCGCGCAGGAAACTCGTGTCAGGGCATTTCCGTGGTCAAAGTGCCCTCGGAAACCATCTGAATGATATCAGCCTTACCCGTACCGCCTTTATTCTCCGATAGAACGTTGTTGTTGTTGTTGTTGGTCTCCGGATGTTGGGTGATCAGATGCTTCCTGAGCGCGGCCTGTCTGGTGAACTTGGCGTCGCACCTGGTGCAGGGGATTTCGATGCCGGTCGCGTTCGATGTGGTGTGCTCGCCGCTGGCTAGCCGTGGCTTGTGCCAGCGTCGATGGGAGGCCAGATTCGCCGGGCAGGAGAACCTCTTGTCGCATTCCGGGCATCTGTACTCGACATGGGCGATCCTGGAGCACCTGTGCTGGGCCAGCTGGAACGCGTCCTCGTGTAGTTGCCTGCAGAGTTTGCACTGATAGGGGCCCAGCCGGTTTTCGATCTTCGCCAGTTCAGCTCGCGCCTCCTCGGTAACTTCAACGATATTAAAAGCTGGATCGATGTCCCCAGTGACCACTGCCTCATCAGGGCCCAAAATAACAGTGCCTGACACTGGGCTGCTTGTATCTTCGTCGAACTTCAATCGCCTCGCGTGTTTCTTCTTGGGCCTCTGACCAATTAGCTTCTCCGTCGAACCACTGGTCCTCGAGCTGATAGCAGAACTGCTACCACCCGAGGTAGGACTCGAATCCTCCTCCCTGATCTTCCTTCTAGGACACTGTGGAGGGGACGGAGTACTAGGTGGTGTCATTGGAGCGTGTTGTATACCAGGCAGGTGATGCTGCGGCGTCAGAAGCAGCTGTTGATGATAATTCTGGATCGAATGTAGATGACTCGGGCTGGTCAGCACGTTCAACTTCTGGCCGTGCGCGTAATAGGACTTCGTGGCGATGTCGTTTAGCGCGGTGAACGGCACCAGACGCGTTGCATCCTCGAGAGTGCATGGTTTGTCACCTGGGTCCTGTGGAGGTTCTTTCTTCGAGAGCAGTTGCTCGTAGCTGGAGTGACTGGTCACCGAGGAGCATCGGGGAACTGGATCGAAATCCTCGACCACCATGGAACCCGACTCTTCGTTGGCTCTTCTGTATCTATTGACCGTCTCGGATTCATTTTGCAGCTCGTCCAGGATCTTTTGATCCTTCTTGGACTCCAAATCTTCGATTTTCGGTGTTGTCGGTGTAGGTGGAGGCTTCAGGGAGAGATCCAGGGGACACGGGGTCGTCGACCTGGACATGTCCCACGATTGGAGAACGTGTTGTTCAGGTACCCTCGAGTACGTCGAGAGATTCTCCATGGGGATGTGCCATGTGGCTGGCGTACCGTACGGATTTTGATGGATCTCGTCGCCATAGTAGCCCACGTAGCTCAATCCAGGTGCCAGAAACGCACGCGGTAAAGAACTGTGCAACATATTGACGTGTCCCTCGATACAGATACGCTGTTTTTCCTCGATTTGACTTTCACACGCCAGAGATCTCAACGGTTCTCCATGTTTCTCGGCCCACCCACGTGTATCACAGTCCCGTCGATTTTTATATTCTGCGCACCTGATTTCCTTGCTCTCTATCTCGAACGTTTTTTACTGGCTTGTTGGTTCACTCACAGCGTCTTTCTCGAGAGATATGTCGTTTAGATACTCGGTTTCGAGGGCGGAAAAGTCCATGCACACTACCTTCTCCCTCGACGGCCGAGCGCCGTTTGACAGAAGGTCGGCCAGCACCGCCGTCTCGTACATTTGAAAGCTCCAACCCAGGGGTACGCGATGTTATAACCGCTCCCATTGGTCGACGTACCTCCAGCCCCCAATCCCCCACCAGGGGATCCAGCTGCCACCACTACCGCACAGAATTCTGGCGCGTGCCCGTGTAAACGCTCGCCGCCCCGTCGCGAGAGACCGTGTAACGGGTAATGAATGTATGTAACTGTACTCTCTCTCTCTCTCTCTCTCTCTCTCTACAGACGCTGCCTCAAAGCTATCCACGAAAGGATATTTAACCGTCGTACCCGCCTGCCTCGTCATGTACGAAATGTCCAATTCTAAGAGGACTCGTTGCAATTTTTTTTTTTCAATTTTCTTCCCTCTTTAACATCTTTCTTTTTCTTTGACGTATCCCAGATTTGAAATGAAAAATTCATCGGTACGTCTGCAGCTTTTAGCGTAGGCTGCTTTAATAATCTTAGACTGGGAAATGGCTGGCTACGAATGAATTATTCTACTGGCAACACCTAACGTGCAATCATTTTTTAAGGACCAACGTTAATCGTTTCGTTCTTCGAATGAAAAATTTAGTATAGTTGCATATATGTTACAGTAAAAGCGTTAATTCAGTAACTGTATACATTTCCTTGGTCAATTTATGCACTTACTAATCTGATTAGTAAATGTATTAGCAAAGATCGAAATTTATACTCTTATTAAGAAATGCATACATTTACATTTCTGATTTAGTAAAAGCATGCTCAAACAAAAATGCACTAATTTCAATGAACGTTTTTTCTGGCATTTGTTCATATGAATCGTATAACTTATTAATTTTAGCTTAATAAGAACGCGTCTTTACAGTTCATTTATAATTGACAAATCATGTAGGTTGTATTATTAAAATAAATGAAAACAGTATAAAGGAAAATTTTGTGTTAATTTATGTAACTGAATTATTTAATTTATATTATAATTGTTTCTTTCTAAGTGTATTAAACAAAAATATAACCTAACCAAACCTATGTTCTTACATTTATTACCAATTTTCTTAAAAAAGGATCCCTAGATTATCAAATAAAATGTTAAACTTTCAGTTCTTATTTTTGGTCTTTAAATATACCTATATTTTCAAAAATTATACTTTCGACATTATGCTTTTACTAACGTACTGTAGAATATATATGCGTAATTGAGTAAATAAAAAAAAATTTGTTATAAAAAAATCGGGAATGTCAAAAGACACAGATGAAACGATGTTTCATTGGTGCAAAATCGCGCTAGTGTGGTGTCTAAGGGTTAAAAAGTTCGGTTATTTTCGGACAGACCCTATAGATGAAATATAGTATGTACACTTGAAATTATATTTACGCAAATATGATTCAGTGTCGGGTGTTGCGAACACCTCTATAAACGCGAAGATATCGCGATGTTACCCCTCAGGTAATACAGTTGTTTCTCATAACTTTAAAGGGAGCAAGTCGTTCAAGCGATGCCAATGCAGTTTTAATGCATTCGCGCACATGCAATTACCGTTCGCGAAATTACACGTTTGTCACGTGCAGCCACGAGGAGGATTCCAACCTGAAATGTTCTCACGCTGTCGTGGGTTCCGTCACGCGGTTTTAGACAATATGTACCATGTGTCTTTTTTTTTTCTCTATCACAGGACGCCATTGAGCGTAGAAAAAAACGGTCAGCCTCTCGATCCATCGCCTTTGAATGTCCATCACAGTTATCGATCACTCCCCCACCCCCTGGTACGTAGCATACAAACTTTAAAGACTTTATATTTCACGCTGGAAAAGCGATCTGGATGTTCTTTCTGGTGTTACGAATACTTCTGTGGTGTCAAAATAAATGTAATAACAAAATAACTGCATTAATAGGTACCGCCTAGAAGTGTTCTTTTTAACTTATTTAATCATTTCTTTCAACTTATTTAATTATTTTTTTATTTGACACAGTGGATAAAGGACGCAAAAATAACAGTAATAACAAAGAATTACAATAACACTTCTAGGAGGTACCTATTAGTGCACTTTTTTGTTATTACTAGATTGCAAATTTTATGCATTTATAGAATATTCGATCGCCACTAATTCAATACATTAAAGAGTTTCAGAAAGTTTATCCAGGTTTGATTTTTATTTCGAACCTACTAAAACCCTTAAAAGTGTAAATAAATTTTTGATTACCTCCAGTTTCGAAAAATGAATCCATAAATTTCTATATTTGCATTGTATATCCGCAGTCTATTCATACGTCATTGTATAAGATTAGAAGTACTTAAACATATTAAAAAAATTTATTTATCTCAAATTAAATACCAACCCAGTAGTATTTAAAAAAAATGTGTCGTAGCACAAACATGTTCTACGAATTTCAAGTTTCTGTTTTTAACAGTTATCGTGGTAACTTTTACCTGTAACCTTCCTCTTAAGGAATACAATTGCAATGGATATACATAATTACTGAACCGTACAGTGTAAAAAAATATGTTTCTTGTGTTTGCATAGAAATAAGATCACGATATTGAAGTTCTTACACTGGATGATTTCTAATTAACGATTCTCCACTAAGATTACACACAAAAAATTGAGGTCAGCTTGTGTAATTTTAACAAACATTCAGTTAAAATCATGAAATCGTCAATTTATGCAGGTGACTGATATAATTTGATCACCCACTATAGGTCTCATCTATCACTCTGTTTTCTTTGCTTCTGTTCTTTCTTTCCTCCTCTCTTTGCCCTTCTCTTTCCATACCACTCACTTTTTATGCATTTTCTCACGGACACTTGTTTGACCTCTCAAGGTCAGACCAGCTTCCAGTAGCATTTGTAATTTTTATTTTCATCAACTTTATGACATACTTTCGAGGTATATGTATAGGCTGAAACAAAAAAGGGTTTATAACTTCTGGGGTAGATAGTACCTCACCAAATGACAAAGAAAGGTTCTAATAAATATGGGTCGAAAAATTAATATATTCAAAATCATAAACAATTTCTTGTTTCGGTTAAAAAGTCTGATTTTCTCGCTTTGGGAGCTATTGCACCATATGGAAACAATAAAGAAAATGATAAAAAAGCTAATAAAAATTGTAGAATACCTTCTGTAACCAGGAAGACAAGAAATTATAAGGTTATGCGTGGTTTCCATATAGTACAATAACTCCCAAAGCGAGAAAGTCAGTCGTTTTAACCGAAATAAAAAACTGTTTATAATTTTGAAAATATTGATTTTTCGACCCATCTTTATTAAGACTTTTTTTTCATCATTTGACCAGTACAATTATCTACCCCAGAAGTTATGAACCCTTCTTTTGTTTCGCCCTGTATATACAAATCTGTGTGATTTTATCATCAATTGAATAGTGTTCCTCGTAAGTATATTTCCTTAATTTGATTTTAGCTTGAACCAAGTTTAATTAAAAAAATGGAAAGGCAACGATTTTCTGAACAGTACGCGAGGGTTAAAACGATTAAATTCGGAAATAATTTCTGGCAATCGATGGTAGAACACAGGTAGGATTAACAGTAAATAATTTTCAAATTACAGATTCCCAAATTCTGTATAGACACGAGGATTCTCGACCGGCAGGCCGAAGCTCGGAGAAGTTACCGATTCCCGCAGCCACCGCATCGTAATCCCTTGATCTTCTTACTTAATTACCAGCGGAGTATGGTTGGATTAATCGTGATAAATAATTCCACACCGCTGATGGACGCTGCGTGTGGAATGGGTACGCCACGCTCCGTCGGCGATGTCAATGGACCAAAACGTGTGAACGTGGACGGAGGGCCACGGCCGATTTCCGTGGCTAATCTCCCACCCTTGGGAACCGTACCGACCGGACGACAATCTCGTTGACCGTAATTGGACGAGAGGTCATCGAGGTCCTCGTCAAGACGTTCGAGGACCGTTCCGTTGGACGTACGACAATCAGCAATCAAGAAAATCGTCGATAAGCTGTTATCTTTGCTGATGAAAATTCTCACGTCGTCGTCGCCCCCCTGTTAATAGTCGAACGATTCTAGACGGTTCTAGGTAAAATAGCGTTTGGAATATCACAGGTAGAATTAAGGTCAATGTCTCTATTTCTAATCATTATTCTATCTATTTCTAATTATTTATTTACGCAACAATCGACAAAAAAACTTATTAGATATAAAATTTAAACCTCCCTTTATAATTAAATGTAAGTAGAAGTATTTTTAAAAACATTTTAACTTAATAATAGTTCATTTAATATGAGGTATAGTGTGCCTATTTCTTTTCTGCTCAGCGAAAATGGACGTGCCAAAACTAAACTTTGACGAACAATATTAAAGATTCCGTAAGTTTTTTTAGTAAAAACGCAGCGTCCACGTGTAACTTACGATCGTAACGGAACTGCTCAAATCGCGTTTCTTTACGACGAACACAATTATTAAATTTATTTGTATTAAAATGCTGCGATCTATTGAACAGCTGGCTGTAACATTTTATACAGAAATACTGAACTAATTTAAATAAATTTTTGTATAACTAATTTATTATTTAACTTTTTACACTAAATAAAAATATACGTCCTGAGCAGAGATTGGGACGTGATTAGAAATAGGGACATTGACCTTACTTGTCGAAATTAATTCACCGACCTGGTTAACATGGTTAATGTCAACCCAGGCGGCTTAAAGACGCCTTAGACCTAAAATAGCCGTAAAATGGGCGTCTTCAAGGCGTCATGTGATATCTGGAAATTCACTATGTAAAAAGAATATCAGTGGAATTACTATAGTTTGAAGTATTCGACTGGTAACATTAATAATTAGCATTCGATCGTGTATTTTGCACCAAATATTGGCTGACGCATACCCCAAATATTTTATAAAAATACATACTTACCTTGTTATATGTGCTTGAATATTAAATTTATGAAATTTTATCATAGATAACATGTATTTACTTTTGTATTTAAATAGAACTTTATCTGCCAGCTGCGTTTTAATATTCTTATTTATACAACAATAATAAAACTTGCTGTGAACAATATTGTACCTAAATCTTGATAGAACGTTTTTAACGAAGCAAAACTAAATGAGGATCACTTTGTAACCTCTGAAATGTTCGTTATTAATAAATTCTACACGAATTATTTAGGCATGGAAATATGTAATTTACATATTTTCTTTTATATTGTTTCAATTGAGGTTACCCGATAAATACCTATACATATGTACACAATTACTTGACAAGTGTACAACTGTTAAATAAACACTGTTTTTATCACATACATTTCTATGAATTTTTCTTCTTCATAAAATTACCTCATTTAATTCTCATTCCACAAACCACTAATAAACCACTAATAGAAACAGACTACGAAAATGTAAATGTGCATGAACATCAGTTACGTAAGCATTACTAATTCGCAAGAACAATAATTTACACACTCGTGGAATACATACTCATAATGATAACCTCTTCTACGTGATACAATAAATAACATTTACATTTACTGAATTTGAATTTTCCTCTCTACGAGACTGAGCAAATAATTTTAAAGTACTTACAGCACATGACGACACTGAAAGACACCGTTTCGTTGCAAAACAAACAAAACCCACGTTTGCATACAGCTCTGCCATTACAGTAGTTAATCACTCGCACTTTCGCGGGAACGACGAATGAACGGTTCAAAATTTCACGCCGACAAAAACAAACGGCGAAATGATCCATTATTACGTGCAAACACATCGCGCACGGACTAATACCGCTTGCGGGTGAACGTAAAATATAGGTATTAACGTGGGATAAGTCGGTCGATACGGATTTCCCATGATTATTTGATACTCCGCGAAACATTTTACCACGCGTTGCACTCTCCCGGTGCCGGCAATACCTCGTATGTGTGTGTGTATCCGCATGAACACCGAGGAAACACTGGCGTCACGCGGCCAACGCTCGAATTACAAAACGTCCAAACCTCCGATTGCAATGTAAACATTCATTTCGATTCCACGGGGACTAATGATCATTCGCGAGTAACTACCTACCTTAAGATCACGTAAGTACGGCTAAGTGCTTCGAGGAGGCTCTGTCGTCGTCATCTTTTTCGGGCGATCAGAAAGTGTGAGACGGAACTACATATGTTTTTCAGTCCCTTAGACTTCCAAGGACCTGGCGAGCTTTTTGCTTGCCACGGATGTCGACGAGTACTCCCGCATCCGCTGGTATGGTGGGAGCGAGAGGGTAGCTCTCTACATATTTGATGCGATTTTAATGTCTCTGCCCGGCGTATCCGCGTCCCGTGCACCAATAGCACCAGGAACACCAGACCGCCGCACGAGGCACAGGAGAGTGACTACCGTGATGCTCTAATCGGCTTACGCAACAAGCCACCCTTATCCCAGAGTTCCCATCACAGGCCCCGAAGCACCCTCGCCTCCCATCCACGGCCTCCTTCGACGACGGGCTATTACTTTGCGGTTAGACGCTACTTTGCTACCTGCGATTTTTTCTTTTACGCAGTCTTTCCTGTTTGCTTTGTAGCTAACAGTAAAAACACCGAACAATTCGAATACATAGATAGTATATGGTCGATTGTAACAATGTAGCGAGAGAGTAGGATACAACTGGACCATAACCGGAGGTTTAAGTCTGATGACGGGGATGGGCGACAAAGTATCATAACTGGACTGTTGATTTTATGCATTTATAGTATATATATACGATTATCTAAATACCGCTTCATAAAACATTTCATAAAGTTTACGGAGGTGTTGAATTTATTTTGAATTTTATAGAAGCCACAATAGAGTGAACAGATTTTTAGTTGATTCCGGCGTGTGCAAATAGAAATCAGCGAGATAGTAAATTCAAGACCAAGAAAAGAACCAAAGGAGCGAGTTCAGTTCGAAAGTGATGTCATAACCATTGATCAAAGTTACTGTAGACTGTGGTACATTGAAATCGATTTACCTTTATTGAAATGACATGGTCCGGGTTATAGAATAAACAAAATAACTCATATAATATGTTTAACATTTAAATTCATGAGTACACCAAGTATCCTATTTTTGGTATAACCGGATGCCGGGTGGAGGTGGACTCGCGGCGTACGCGTACGTATGGTGCTACACGAGAGAATTGCCCTAGGCAAGGACGCGCATTATTGGGTCGAATTACATTAAACAAACATCCCATACATCTGCCTCTCCCTCCTGTCCAGCGCTCGTTTTTTTTTTTGTCAAAATTCACGTACAGACATGTACAGCCGATCACTTCGTCACGTACATTCAAATATTCAAAATCGAATTAAAATTTCAGTTACATTTGTGTCATTAAATATCAGTACATTCTAAAAATGTCATTTTCAACAGTATCGTTTAACATTTATCCGACTTACTTATTTAAGAATGAGGTATTCCAACATTTACAACTCACGGTTTTATATACAGACGTAAATTTAATCACAAAAATATGCATATCTATATGTGTGTATCAATATTTTCGTTTACCTTTATAGCGTTGATGTTCCGTTTGCAAAACGGGATCGGCGCTTTTGTTTTCCGCGGACGGATCAATGTGCGCGAAAACAAAATTTTTTGGATTTTTCAATTGTGCCGGCACATCCTTTTGCCTAGCCAGAACAGCCAGACGCGTCAGCGTCTCTTCCCCCCTCGCAAGAAACGAACGTTTCTGCATGACATTCTAAAAATAAATATTAGAATATATCAAATATTCACTAAATGCCAAAAAATACTAGAGTATTATTAAAATACATATCACAGTGCGTATAACAGTAATAGTTTGAAGATGAGTATATAAAAATCACAAAGCTTACATGTATCAGACGTGATTTTCCCTGTAAATTTGAACAGTTCAACATTTCTGCGACAGTGATCGGTAGTCTTGACTTAACTTTGGAATCGACCGAATCCACCAACGTGTTCTCTGTCTGATTTTCGTCGACTCGCCTTTTCTTGAGAATCTTCATACCGAGTTGAAATATTTGACTGTCCTGTAATTCATTCTCGATCTCGGATTCTACGTTCTCCTTTGACTGAAATATTACATTCAGAATTTCAAACGTTATTTTCTAAGTTGTCACACTGCCATTCATAGAGTTTAATATTTTAACGTTTAGTTTAATAAAATTCTTAATAAAGAGAATAAGGTGACTTGACGGCCATTTTTAAGACTCTGCTTATAAAAATGTGGAATCTCATAAACATCTACGATCCAATGATTACCAGTCTGATTTTAAACTCCTACTTGAACAATTTTCCCTTAAAACATATTTTTAATAAAATAGTAATGCTTGTGTAAAAAGTTCCATTTATCTAACGAAAAAAAAAGAAGGATGCATCGGACGTTTCACCGGCACCACGCCTTACCATCTTTTCTGCTAGGAATTTTTCTCTTTCATGCCTTATCTTACGCCATTTTGCTTCATCCTCATCATCCGACAAATCAACCCAACCGTCTTTATCTTCTGATGGTTCGAACTGATCGTTACCGTCTTGTTTATCTAAAAAAAAACAGAATTCAATTATTATACTATAAATCTTCAACAGAGAGAACAATTCGTATTCAATATCCCGTACCTATATTCTTCCACTTGAATTTTCGTTCTCGAGCGCTGTCACTGAACATATCTCCCTCCTCGAACAACAGTTCCTTGAGTATCTTTACTTCCTTCTGATCCTTATCCAGTATTTGCTTCATATGCAGTTTACCCAGTTGATTCTTCATCTTTATCTCATCGATTTCCTCGTCGTCCCCTTCCTCCAATTCCAAATCGTCCATGTCCTTTTCATCCTCGTCCGCGGACACATCACAGTCGCTCTCGCTTAGCTCGGCTTCATTTTCTAAAAACGTGGCCGCGTACTGCTTTATACTCTTCTTCGGGACAACCACTTCGTTCTCCTCTGAATCATAATCTATAAATTTGTCTTCGTCGTCTTCGTTTTGTTCGTCCTCGTCGTCTTCGCTTTGTTCATCATCGTCGCTGAGCATCGAACGTTCGTTCTCTTCCTCGTCATCGGATAAATCTAGCTTCTTCACCTTCCTCTTCATCGGTCGAATCTTGATCGGCTGCTCCATCAGATCTTCGTCCTGTTCGTCTTCTTCGAAGTACCGGACACTGGATTTCTTTTGGGACACGTCGTTCCCCTTCGATCGTTCGTTCTCTTGACAATCGTCTTTCTCGATGGACGTTGAACCTCTTCCCGTTGATACATCTTGCGATTTTTCGCTCGACAAGTAATTCGTTAACACTTCCGAATTGTTCGCCTGGCTGCTAAATGTTCCCGAGCATAACTCTAGTAGCTGCGATTCGGAGACATCCGGCTCTTTCGAGGCGTACAGGTTATTCTTATTCGTGAGGAATGTACCGGAGCACAATCCCATGAGATCATCCTCCGTCATGTCGTTTTGATCGGTGAACGGTAACTTCCTGTGTGGTAGTGCTTCGTTCTTCGAACCGCGGAACCGTTGCGAAAATCCATCGATCAGCGGACTTTCCATCAGAATCGGATCAGATTCGTTGACCAACGACACTTGCTCGACCTGAGCTGACTTCTTCTCGTCCTCCAAGCCGGTACTTAATGCTGTCAATTGCGTCGCAGGGGAAACGAAATTAAAACTGTTGGCCTTAATACGCGGTGTTCGACTGGTTTCTTCGCCTTCCAAGTCATTTTCAACGTGCATTTGCGAGACTGGAATATCGCTTTCATTATCGCTGGCGCTCCCGTTGAACATATCCAAACTAATCATTGTTCGCGACACCTTCCTGTCCTTCATTACCGTGTCGTCACTCTTCACTGTATCACAAGACCTAGAATCATCTTCTATAGGTTCGACGATTCGTTTGAACGATTTACGATTCATATTAGCGCTACTACATGTGCTGCTCTCATCGTCTTCTAAAATAAGCCTCTCGCATTCTTCGTCCTCTTTCTCTGAATTTTCATCCTCATCCTCGTCTATAATTTCATCATTGTCTTCATCGTCGCCACTGACTTCTGCTTCGTCATCTACGAAAGCGCATTTACTTTTCGTCTTCTTCTTTCTCTGCTCGTATACATCATCTTCTACCGGTTCATCCTCTTCGGTTTCGTTTGTCTCAATACTCGGTGAATAGGATTTGCTAAACTCCTCTTCATCGTCGAGAGTCTCGGTCCAGTCTATCTCGTGTTCCTTCATCTCCTGTTCTTTTTCTTTCCACTCTACCTCATGCTTCATCGCAATTCGATGCTTCAATTCCTCCTTCAGACGCAACAACTTTGCCCCAGGTTTCTGCAATGCGGGATCTTCCTTTCCGAATGTTGGCAGTTTGTATGGGAGTGTTTCTTTAACTACGATCGGTAACCCATTCGGGGACTCTTTTATATGTGTTACCGTCACCTCTGATATATCCTTAACTTTTTCATCCTTCTTGGAATGTTTAAATAGGAATCGATCGATCAAGGCGTCTACCCCTCTCTTGTTTGGTTTAACGTCATCTGATAAATCGATCATCGTACCCGGCGCGCCTTTTAATTTTGGTTTTAAACTTTGTACGTTCAATGATGTCTTCTTCTCGTTCATGTTTGGAGAGTTATCGAACTTAGGCGGTGGTAAACCATACTCGTCGTATTCATCAGACTCTTCTATAGGTATTCCCAACGATCGCTTTACCATTGTCGCATAATCGTTATTGGTTTTCGAAGTGGACGCCTCCGAGAAATCGTTATTGATTTTCGAAGTGGACGCCTCCAAGAAATCGTTATTAGTTTTCGAAGTGGACGCTTCCGAGAAATCGTTGTTGGTTTTCGAAGTGGACGCTTCTGAGAAATCATTCGTAAACTTGGAATTATTTTCTTCGTCGTCGCATCTTTCATCGAAAGTGCTTTTGACCGTATTTTTGTCTCTATCGCCATTTTCAATATGCCCGCTTTGTAACAAATTATCTTCTTCTTTATTACGAGGTGCATCAACTATTTTCTCGGTTTCCGATGTACGGTGTTGGCTTCCATTCTCTGTATCTGTAGTATTGCAATGAGTTTCTAGTGTCACCAAATCACTCAAATCGTCTATTAGCATTGTACTGATTGCTGTTAGTTCATTGCTTTCTGTCTCGTTCGTTTCTGTGGCAATTTCATTTGCTTCGTGTACCACATATGCACTACTTTCTTCTTTATTATTATCTACAGATAAACTATCAGAAACAAACAATTTTTTTGGAATGATATCTTTCCTAACTTTTTGTGTACATTGTATATTTTCGCTTTCTTTGTCCCCTTCTGAAGGGCTTTCTTTATCCGCTTCTGAAGGGCTTTCTTTATCCGTTTCTGAATGACTTTCTATTGCTTCCTCTTCTGAATCAGAAGACTTGTAAAATACCTCTGTTTCTTCCTCTTTTTCCTTCAAAACTTTGCTGTTCGATAAAAAAAATTACAGAATTTAATAATTGAATGAAATATAATAGTACTTGGTGTTAATATATTGTAAAATTCCTCACTCGACAATAGCAGATGACATCTTTAATTTAGCTGCCATTGTAGAAGCTTTTGGTAGAGCAGAGAGTACTTTCTTCCTGCTCAAAGATTCTTGTAATGTTCTCTGTTTTGGTCTGTGGTAAGGAAGGGAAATTTCAGTTTCTCTTATTAAACGTTGAGTTTCACTATGTATCTGTTTCATGGCTTCATCTTTGCTAGCCCTCGATGAGACCTACAATAAATTATATTGACATATGTTAAAAATACAATAACATATGAAATTTAATTATTGATATTTCCTATTGATTTACCTTTCTCTTTGTAAATTTACTATGTTCCTTGTGTTGTTTACTTTCCTCATACTTCATAGGAGTCCTTTCATCTTCTTCCTCTGATTCTGAATCTACTAGAGATTGAAATCTATTTTGTACCTGCAAAATATCAATCTGATTATGAATACTCTTATAACCAGAATATCTATCTATTTGTTTTAACTACTACTCACAGCGTTCCCTTCCTTTTCTTTATTTGAAATTCCTTCTGCATTATGATTATTATTAACATTAAGCACTTCTTCGTCTGTATCACTATCAAAAATTTTCTTCTTATTCCTCTTCTTATTTGAATATTCTTTGTCTTCAGATGATTTAGTAACATTTCTTTCTCTTTTCATCTGTGATGTAAAGATATTTTCATCTTCTGAGTCACTATCTATTATCTTGGAAAATCTTTTACAACTATTAGGACCTTGGAATTCCTCATTCTCTTGTATAGAATCTTTATCAATTTCTTGCACAGTTTTATTCAATATATCTGTGTCAACATTGTTAATACCATCTGCATTCATTTCAACAGATTTGTTGAGCACCTCCTCCATGCAAACATTTACCTCTTTATTGGACTCAGTTTCCATAGACATATCTTCTGCGATACACTCCTTGCCATTTGCATTGTTAAGATCACAACTATCAGTCATTTTCGCAGGTAACTTAGTGCTCTAATTAATTTTTTTTTATCTCAGTACAACAAAAGTGTACGCTTATATTCTTTTTATATTAATTTTTATAAAGATGTATTAGTTTATTATAAAAGTAATGAGTGTGTATTATAAAATTATTCAATTACAATATGGCATTCCCAACTATTTTGAACACCGATACAAATACGAATTACACTAAATTATTGATACGTCCTAAATACGTTTTAATTAAAAACAGTCATGCTATTTTAAATGTTACAAATCATGCTACATAAATACACAACACAACACTACACTGTAAATCTACTTGTTTTGATTGATGAATTTGGCGCGAAAGAATTGTCATTGAGTGTGCAGAAATAATAGAGAGGAAATAGCATAAACATTACAACATGTTCAATTATATCATTTGTTACCAAACTACTAGAAAAGAATTTGTCACACTCTTTTCATTCTTTCAAACGTTTTGGGTTGTTCGTTATACAATTTCTGTATGTAAATTGTATTTATAACACTTTCCACAGATTTGAGACTTTACCGTTAAAGGTTCCGAGAGAAATTTCGCCTCCATATGAATACTCTATTGCATGAATCGTTTCCAATTCTGCAAATCGATCACATATGGTAAAGTAGACGTAGGTAAGAAAATGAAAGTTACGACGCCTTACAAACTGTTTTATATTCTTGGCTCATAGTAGTTGGTCGATAGATCAAATTGTTGACGTATTTTTATGACAGTTCAGGATCGTGTCAAAGTTGCAATCGAGAACACCGTTACACCCGTAATATTCTTTAACAATGCTCAGACGTAATAACTAGACTGTGGCATTTATGCATTTATGATAGATGTAACTGAATAAATTATAGTAAAATAGAAGCTTTTATAAAATCCACCAGTCTTTCATTTTACTTTTATTTCATTCTATTTTTATAAATTGGTCTACAAAACTGTGAAATTGTATAAACACCCGCAGTCTAGTCATAAATATTTAATAATGCATCTTTTATATTTCTGTGTTTGTTCACAGGCATGATTATGATGGGCGAACCCCTTACTTTAGCAAATGGTAAACACCCTTAGATATTTGATAACTTAAATTAAACATCTTTTTTCAATCTCTTACAACAGTTGTTATTTGTATTAGGTTTTTCAAAAAGTTTGCAATATTTTTAAGGCTAAGACTATATACTTTTTAGTGTGCATTTTATTTTTACTTCTTATGAGTGCTGTCAAATTTTCCAGTTACAGTCATGTTGTTTCTTTCATATGATTAATATAACATACTGTTTAATTTCTATCTTTCCTAGAAAGAAAAGAGTATCAAGTAACTTGCATATAGAATATATTAGAACTGTATTACAAAAATATATATGTATAATGAATACTTATCTACCAAAAAGGTGATAAAGGTACTCTATCCTAAACATTGTCATCTTTATGAATAACCCAGTAATAATTAAACTTCGGGTTGTAAAGATTCATTTACAACCATAAACATTAACTAGCAACAAATTCCATCTATTAAGAATTTTACTTCATTATAATGGAGAACATTTTTGTACATTCTGAAAGCTTTCTTATTTTGTCTCCTGCATACTTGTGCATATTATAAATGCATAAACCTGCAGTCTCAGATAATAATGAAATACACACTAACAGGGAATAATTAATATCAATTATTCCAATTATCTTTTGCAGATGTGAAGAGGTCCATCGAATTATTAGACAAATTGCAAAAAGGTAAAGGAATGGACTAATTTATTACATCACTCGAAGTATTATCGCAAGACCTATTGTATTTACCTTTGCATAGGACTTTAGAGCAACCATTTCCATATATTATTGTTTTGATCTGTTTTCTTGCATACATCATGTATGTGGTTACATTATGTATAGAATTTTTGTTAGTATTGACAACTTTGAGTTTGATACAAATGTAAATTTTAAATAAAAATACATTGCCATTGTAGGAGGCGAAGTTCCAGCAACAAAGTTAGCTGCTTTACAGAAAGTTTTACAGAGTGACTTTCTTAGCGCTGTACGCGAAGTATACGAACATGTATACGAGACAGTAGACATTCAGGTTGTATGCTTGTATATTTATATAACATAACATATTTATCAATATTCTAGTGCTAATTTTTCATTGCAGGGCTCTCAAGATGTCCGTGCATCAGCTACGGCAAAAGCAACAGTTGCTGCCTTTGCCGCAAGCGAAGGTCATGCCCATCCGCGAGTCGTGGAATTACCAAAAACAGAAGAAGGTCTTGGTTTTAACGTGATGGGAGGCAAGGAACAAAATTCGCCCATTTACATTTCACGAATTATTCCTGGAGGTGTTGCCGATCGCCATGGTGGCCTGAAACGGGGTGATCAACTCCTTTCAGTGAATGGAGTGGTTAGTCTTAACATTGAGAGCTAAAATTTTCTGATGACACATTTCGTCTTATTCATTTTATATATTATTTTTCAGTGCGTCGAGGGTGAGAATCATGAGAAAGCGGTAGAGTTGCTGAAACAAGCACAGAACTCCGTGAAACTGGTTGTACGTTATACTCCCCGAGTTTTGGAAGAAATGGAATTGCGATTCGACAAGCAAAGGGCAGCTCGTAGTCGGCGCCAGCACATGCAATAAAAATAAAAATCTATTACATGTCATTACTTCCTTCCTAACAAACCAACTACATACATATTACCATCATCTTAATTTCGTATCTTCTTTATGTGTAAATCGCAGTAACTTTATTTAACTGAGTAATAGAACGTGCGAGACTTGATTTTAAGAAAATACTATCATTATTGTAATGTTACTGTCTTCTATCTCTTAAATAAGTGTTATATATGTATATTATAAAGCTTTATGAAACAATCAAAATGAAAAATAAAATTTCTTTTTCTTGCTCTAGTCAAAACAATTCATTCCAATTTTCACAAGCGTCACACGCTTGTGTATGCAATTATTTGCATTTCAAAGTGACTCATACAACATTGAAATGTATTCAACGTAAGAATCTTTATAAGAAATCGGGTGTAAGACATGGTAAAGAAAGATGTAATTCTGCATTCTTCCGCTAGAGTACAGCACCATGGACTTACGTGGACTCTGTTATCCGTAGCAATGTAAAACTCAATGGACTTTAAACTGATTTAAATATTGCTGGCTCATTACAAGGGGTTTATATAAAAGCTTCGACTAAGTGAAAAGCCTACTTCTTAATTTACCTTCACCAATTTCAAATTTGATCAAAATGACGAGACCAGCCGATTTACGTTTCGACGGTCGTGTAGTTGTGGTGACAGGAGCTGGAGCAGGTATTCATTAGCATGTTATTTGTTGCTTATTCTCATTTTAATGCGATCTTTGCATTTTATTACTCATAAATGACTGTTTAGGTCTGGGTCGTGCGTACGCTTTACTGTTTGGTTCAAGAGGCGCCAGCGTTGTAGTAAATGATTTAGGCGGAGGAAGACACGGTGATGGGAGCAGTACCAAAAGTGCAGACACAGTTGTCCAGGAAATTAAGAGAAACGGTTGTTTATCATATACCAAAATCCCAATACTTTCTTTTTCCTTTTTTTTTAAATAAAGAATTACATGATTAATTCTATTTAGATTGTTATCACAAAAGAAATATTAAGCAGGAATCTTATCTTTATATTTTCTCTTTGAGTGATGGTGATAAGAGTTGTTGATAAAAATTTGTAGAGTAATTATGCAACATTTTATTAGTACAACAGCTTTACTAAAGCAATATGTATAGGAGATATTATTTATGGACAGGAATGTTTTCATATTTATATTATTTTAATGAAAGGAACAAATCTTTTTAACTTGACATTTTTTTTCAGGTGGTAAAGCAGTTGCCAATTATGATTCTGTTCTTGATGGTGCAAAAATCATTAAAACAGCTATTGATACTTTTGGACGAGTTGACGTAGTTGTTAATAATGCTGGAATTTTAAGAGACAAGTCTTTTGCAAAAATGACAGAAACGGACTGGGGTATGTACAACAGTTTCTTATCAATTATATGCATATTTTCTATTTTTCAAGATTGAAAGAGACACATAATTTTTTGCAGATTTGATACAGGATGTTCATGTAAAAGGTGCTTACAAAACTACTCAAGCTGCTTGGCCTTACTTCTCGAAGCAAAATTATGGTCGTGTAATAGTGACAGCAAGTAACAGTGGATTATATGGAAATTTTGGACAATCAAATTACAGCTCAGCAAAAATGGGTCTGGTTGGTCTGGCTAATACTTTAGCCATAGAAGGCAGGAAAAGAAACATACATACAAATGTAATAGTACCAACTGCTGCTTCTCGTTTGACAGAAGACATCATGCCACCAGGTTGAAAACATTTGTATTGTATTGCATATATGTACCTATATATTGCTATATTTTACTTTATATCCTTAGACTTTCTTGAGCATTTAAAACCCGAGTTAATAGCCCCGGTAGTTGCTTGGCTGTGTCATGAGAGGTGTATGGAAAATGGTTCTATTATTGAGTCTGCATTAGGATGGGCTGGAAAATGTAAGTACACGAAATATAACCATTTAAATAAAGTTTCAAACTTAGAAATTCAATTTATGGATTTTCAGGTCATTTGATTCGTGCATCGGGAACCACTTTAAGACAAGATTTATCAACCAGCATCACCCCAGAAGATGTTGAACAAAGGTGGGCAGCCATCACTGACATGTCGTCTGCTAAACATTTTGACACCATAGAGGTACATAAAATACTACTTTAGACAGAATTGTTCAATAGATTATCTCTTTTCACGTTTCTACATTCTTACAGGAAGTAACAGGACAGTTTATGTCTGCAATAGGAGAAATGAAATCTGGAAATTCTAACTCTGGAAACTCTAACTCTGGAAATTCTAGTTCTGGAAATTCAGCGCCGGTAACTAAGATACTATTTCTTTGTATGGAATTAAATTGTGCTATTTCTGATTACGAATGTCTATTTATAGGATGTCTTTCGGCATACTTACAATTACCGGGACACAATATTATACGCATTAGGAGGTATGGTTTGATCCTAATAATAATTTCGCAACGGTACACAATATTATAACAAACAAACTTTCTTCTGTAGTCGGTGCTACGGTACAAGAACCGTCTGATTTGCGTTATTTGTACGAGAATCATGATAATTTTGCTGCGTTACCTACGTTCTATGTTCTTCATGGGCCAATGTATACAATGAGTTCCACAATATTCGAAGATGGTCTTCCTGGCTTACAACTGGACCCAATGAAGGTAATATTTCTGTGTGAATACTTCCTTAACTTTGTCCTTGCGCATTTATCATGATTACAGATGTTACACGGAGAACAATATATTGAAGTGTATAAACCTGTGCCAACGGAAGCTACTGTAGAAACAAAGTTTAAACTTTTAGATGTGCTCGACAAGGGATCGGGTGCTGTGTTTATAATACAACGTACGTGTATAAGCATCGTTGTTTTTGTGTTTCTTAATTATTGAAAAAATACATTCGAGTTGACTTAACATGTTACAGACGACACGTTCGATACTGTCACCGGAGACAAGCTGTCCACTGGGCAAATGTCGGTATTCGCAGTAGGAGCCGGTGGATTTCAGGGAAAACGAACATCTTCCAACAATATAACGTCCGTTGATCCCCCTAATCGAAAACCGGACGCGTCGGTCACCCAACATACTAGTTTTGATCAGGTAAACAACAAAAACGATTCATTTTTATGTATTCTTCGAAATAGTATTGGTTTCGATATAAAGATGTATTTATTTGTAATGTCTTAATTATAATTTCATATTACTATATGTAGGCAGCGTTGTACAGATTAAGTGGCGATAACAATCCCTTACACATCGACGCAAACATGGCAATGATTGGTGGCCATAAAAGACCAATTCTACATGGATTGTGTTCTCTTGGATTTGCTGTTCGTCACGTTCTTCAAACTTACGCCGATGGTGATCCAAATCTATTTAAAGCTATCAAGGTACGATACACTGGTGTTTTTGTTAGGCTGTTGTTATACGATAATGAAACAGTGTAAATATAGATTGCGGTTTAACGATGTTTTTTAATGCACAATAAGTTGCTTTTAATGTATCGTTAATGTGTTCTTAAATTATACTTCCGAATCAGCAGCATTAAATTCAATAAGGTCGAGGTCAAAATAATACGATTGTGGTACTGCAGAGTAATACGAGAATGCCTTAACGAAATTAAATTACTTAATGAATATTTCAGGTTCGTTTCGCGAAACCCGTACTCCCGGGTCAAACTTTGCGAACTGATATGTGGCAGAATGGGAACAGAATACATTTCCAAACTTATGTCACAGAAAACAATGTACCAGTTTTGACAGGTGAATTTCCATAAATGGAAAATTTTACTTACAGCTGCGAGTCGAAATACTTGAAATATAATTTTTTTACGAAAATTTTAAACTATAATTATTATAATTTTAGATTGTTATTTTTTATGTATACAGGTGCTTATGTTGATTTGAAAGACACGAAAGTCAAAGGACCCCAAGTAAGTCCTCCCTCAAGTACTGAAAATCTTGAGAGCGATGCAGTATTCGTGACCATTGGCGATTACGTGAAAGCAAATCCGGAAGAAGTCAAGAAGAAGGTGAACGGTGTTTTCCTTTATCACATTTTAGTGGACGGAAAGCCGCAGGGAAAATGGAGTAAGTATTGCTTCGATTAAAAAACTGCTACAATTTATTTTCTGCACTTTACACCGTAAGTCCTTTTTTTCTGTTATACCGTGATTGTAAGTATTATGTATTTTGAAGCTTTGGACCTGAAGCAAGCCGAAGTATATAAAGGAGAGCCAAAATCGGGAAAACCCGATACGACATTGACAATCGAGAACGCGGACATGATTCAATTGGTGAGTTTCTTTCGAACTCAATGGGCACTTTTTAACTACTGTCCGATTGACATTTTAAAAATTCACCTACGATACTGATCGTTTTGTTTTCAGGCTTTGGGTAAACTAAATCCACAAATGGCATTCATGCAGGGAAAACTAAAGATTACTGGAAATATCATGCTCACACAAAAATTAAAGTCTCTCATGGACGCCGCTAAAGCGAAATTGTAATACCACAAATATTTGTTGATCAGTTATATCACATTATAATTGTTGTTATATTTTTATACTTTTATAATTTACAAATAATGTAATATGGTTGGGGATAGAACGATTGTAGCGTAAGTATTAGTACATACATCTTTTGTACAAATGGCTTTAAAAAATAATAGTAATTTTATATTTTATTATATAAATATATACAAACGCAACTGTGATTAAACTGAAAGTAATCAGTTTCGTTTTATTCCAATCCAATGCACATGGTAGTTTGTTTTTAGTAAAGGTACAAGAAACTAATAAATTATTTCATATTACTTTACATATATATAAAAAAATATATTATTATCGACACATGCTTATGTTTGTACAAAGAAGGTAGTTTCATATATTACTGGGAATCATAATTTCTTTTGGAGATCTATAAACACACTTATGTTTATTTCCATGCATAGCTTTTAAAATTATCTAGAGTTCTCTTTATTCCTATTCCAGTTTTTCAGAATTATTCTTTTCATTAATATAATTGATTTCTTTTTCTTCTAGTCTCTGTTTTATTAAACTTATAAAATCTGATTCTACACACCTCTTTCTAATAGGATCTTTAATGTCAGTTGGTTTTTCAGAAGGTCTTTTAGTCCTTTTGCTTTTCTTCATATTAGTTTCTCTAACTTTAGACAATATGGATTTAGGTTCTGCGATATCTCCGCAATTAGTGATTTCAGTACAATCTATATTGTTCTCTCCATTGTGTATAAGTTTTGTTTGATCTTTTGGAAACGATACATCGTTTTCAAAAAATAGTTTTACCGGTCCCTGCGTAATAATGGCTTCTGAATTTTTCAACGATTCAGTTTCATCGGTGTCGGGCGTTCCTTTGATTTCGTTACGTTCGTCTTCTTCTAATCGTTTCACGATGAATTCTGTACTATGAACTACAGCCACGTTCTCATCGGACGTATCCAGACACACGGTATTTTTGTTAGCAATTCTTCCCCCATGCAAGAACGCGGACACGTCTCGTCGTCTCCACATTTTCGATGTTCGCGGTATAAACTGTTTACATTTTCCCTCGAACAAGAATTCTTTGATGTCGATTTCTTCGATTTCTCCCTTCAAGAATTGCAAGTATTTCTTCAAAGCGGTGAAAAAATGTAACTTATCGGTCATTTTAGGAAAATTTGCACAACGAGCGCTACTCGAAGGTGTGACCCACAGCGCGACATCCTCGATTCGTTCTGGTTGTAAACCAAAATTGAAGTTATTCGTTTTCTTAGCGAATACATCGTAGATACATTTACCATTGAAAACAGCAATTTTTGGTTTATAAGTTTTCAGCTTTTCCTTTACAATCTCGCAACCCTCTTTGATCTCTGTTCGCTTCAGATCGGCGGAGGATCTCGTGGGTCGTTCAACGATATTCGTCAAACCAATCCCATATCGAGGAAGCTTGTAATCCTCTTCGTATTTTAGGCATCGCGGCGTTAATCCTGACTGATGGAGAAGCTTATAAAAATGATTACCCGGGCCCGCGTAATAACGACCGCGATGAGCTGCCATCAAACTCGGATTGATCCCAACGAAAACCATGTCCAAATTCATTTCCAGATAATCCGGCAAAGTGTACCTTTGCACTTCTTCTTCCGACAATCCATCGAATCGGTCGATCTTCTTTTTCGATTCCTTTTTTTTTACAGGTGCTCGTTTCTTTAACTTGTCAAGTGCGAGCGTAGACATTGCTTTACACAAAAGTCATTCCCAAGCTTTACAAAAGGCACGTGAGGTTTACTTGAACGCATACAGACAGGACAATTTTTATGACCGTGTGGATTCGTTTTCAAACCTCGCCAAGAAGAACTTTCTTTCGCGCTATGTTTGATTCGATTAGGTTAGGACAGGTTCGATAGTGTTGAGTAAATACCACTGACTGTCAAAATAATTATTCCTCACCTATGACAACTTGGAAATCACCAGCCAAAATGAGAATTTTTTGGTAGACCGTAATATTGAATAAATATTGGTTGCCTAATTAATGGTATATTCTGTATTTTGGTCGTCAGCACTGATTACATATCCTAACTTTGTGTCGATAGTACATTATACTTGTCAGGATTCAACATTATTTGAATGAACCATTTTAACGTTATTATTCCAATGAGATGTTATCGCGTGTTATTTAAATAAGCAAATGAAATCAATATCTCGACTGCGGTTAAGAGTTACTACCTAATTAAAAAAGCAAATTTGTATGAAGAAGCAGAATACCGGTATTCTAAATTTGTTGGTTGTGCATGCACTTCTGGCATTGTTATCGATTGTTAGTTTGCCCCATTAGTGTATAATAACGTTGCAAATTAATAAATGCCAGTGCACATTATCTATCCTACAAAACTGCAAAAAATAATAAATACATAGGGGCAGGTCAGGGAGGAATGTAGGAAAAACACTATGGCGTCATCTTGCAATAAGTACATAATTCTGATTGGCTAGTAGTTTGGACGTTTCGCCGTAGATGGTGACATAGTCATGTTTCATTTCACTTATCAATGAACTTGAAATAAAATATTAATAAAAAATTCCTAGAGAATTCTTAAAAACTCAACAAACAATTTTACAACACTAAAAAAAATATGCAATTGTAGTTTGTTCAATTTTTTCATACACTTGTTATATGTACTATAAATATATTTGGATGAACTATTTTGACCGTTAATTTAGCAATGTATAATACTTAATTAAAATGATATAGAATCTTTCTATATAAACTTTCCTTAGTGAAGACAAACACTCCAATTATTCTCGATTTATTCTTGACTAGCTTCCCTAAATACATTTTTTATATTGATAACGAGAAGAATCGATTTATACGAAGTAATCTGTACTTTCATTTAAGAAGAATATAACTCTTTATTGAAAATGGAAAATATATCTGTTTAAACCATTCAATCTATTTCCTCGTTATTTAGGCTAAAAAAATGTAACAAGAATCTAACTTGAAAATGTTTACGAATTGTACAAGGAAGTAGGAAAGTAAATTTTTGAATACACAATAAAGTAAATCTCTAAAGGTTAATACTATTGTAAACTTTGTTAAAAATTCAACATAGTCAACCGAAGTACATATACCATTCTTAGGAGCCAATTTCCGCGAGATTTATAAAAAGTAGATTCACAGAAACGAATCAGGAGTTATTTAAGAACGACACGAACAATAGTATGAATAGTCGTCGAGGAGGAATCAAGCCTGTTAATAATCAAACCGATTAATATCTCTGTTTTTAGTCATCAATGCTCTCAATATATTTATTTATTTCTGAATAGTTACCAACTAAGCCCTTGCATTTCTATGATTGTCATTCGAAAAATTACGCAATGACGAAGCCAAGCATCGTCTCTACCATGTATACGTGTCTCTAAGATGATGTTATGAGTCCTGGTTGGCCCAACTCCTAGCTTTAATGATGCGTACATCAAAAGTTAAATAACAGTTATGTGTTTCATATAAAGATTTAAACGACAATATTTATAATATTATATTTCTCAAAGTTCTATTTTACGTGACAGAACAATTAAACGTCTGAAAAGTTAAGTCACTGTGCCGAGAAAATCATTTACTTCATGGAAGAAACGGGGACGACTGACGGTTAATAAATTCCGATGAGTGTACCGAGAAGCTATTTGGTAAAGGGATCCGCGAGCTCTGAACTCTGATTCATACCCTGCAGCCTGCAGCAGTGCCTATCTTTCTCCTCTAAATCTGGGAAGCAAATACGTTCCAAAACCTAAGGCACGAAAAAGGTCGACCGTTCGCCGAAAATACTACTTCGGGAAGCAAACAATGATGAATAATGCATTTGTAATGAAATCTGCCCAGGCATTTATTCACAGTAAATCATCGAAACTGGAGAGCAATAGTTAGCCTGCGGACGTTTATTTAAATTTACACTTTTATAGAGTAACATCACAAAAATAGAATCGAAGTATAATTTTTCTCTTCTCTGTTAAAAGAATTTCGAATTATGTATGAAAAAAATGCATTATTTTGATTGTATTCATTTTTTTCTGTTAGTATGCCATTCATTAATTCCAATTAAATTTGATCTGGAATTCACTATGTTTGAGAGATCCGAAGGCTTAGAATGGAATATAATCGACACGTGTAATGAATCAAATGTAATAACACGTTTTTTCTATTTTCGTAGATGCTGATTAATCTCTGTTAGTTTTCACTTTAGTTAATTATTAGACAGGTTTTTCGTTAATGATACAATGTCAGAAGCACCAATGAATAATTCATTGCGTTTTCAGAAACTCAATATTTATCTCCCGGTAAATGAGAAAGATGTTATTCCCTGATATTAGTAATTATTTCTCGCTATTCTACACCATTTTTATGGAAAACCAACTTATATTGTAAAAAGCATGTACAAATTTTCGGTGTAGATTTGTAGATACACTTAATGTAGCTTTTATCTTATTTTTAATTTAATTTTTCAAAATAGAAATAATTTTCTGTTTTCAGACTGATATTTTTATATTATTGCATGCAAATACAGATTCGCATAAAGATTTATAATCTAGGGGACAATAACTGGAATATCCATTACACTTTGAGTTTCTCAAAAGGCTTGAAGTTCTAGAAATACTACGCATAGAATCGACCGATAAATTGTCAACACCTTATTTCATAATAATATAAACTTATTAGATAAAAAGTGTCAATGACTTTACGCAAACGCGGCGAGTGTTCTCAGTTACGCTGGCGCTACTTTCGAACGAAACAAGGCATAAAAAAAGGTTGCACGGTAAAACGTCGCTTTTCGTCTTTGCAATGTAATAAAGTAAAGTAAATGATCTCGAGAGTTGAATATCAGAGAAATAATATCATCTTCGTTCATAACTTTATATCCTGTCTTGTCTTTACGTATTTCTAATCATTCATAAATATCATTAGAAGTATCATTTCTAAATACAGTATACTGGATTACTAATAGAATTATGCATTGCATAATTCATGTAAGATTTGTGACTCGTTCGATGTTTCGAATGATCGGCATTTCCAGTAGTAGACATTTGGATAATTGACCTTCTACTCCTGTATTGGTAATTCCAAAAGTCTAGGAATACCAGCTGACTCAGACAAGACCTTTTTGGTTCAGCTTTCGCTGAGAAAATTTTGTATTCAACGAGACACGATATTTTCCATTATTTTCAACTGTTCGACGCTACGTTATATTTTGTTGAAATACACTTCGTTCGACATGTTTTTTTTTTCGTAACGTAATTTTTATGTAACTGTAAAACTGCAAAGCTATTTTTACATCTAGGTCACTCAATTGATATGTGTTCGTATAGTTATGCAAACAGTTCTGTTAATCCATTGTTACGTAAACTCTTTCACCGGAATATCATTTGTCCGCGAATTCAGACAGGGGTAAAGTAGAAAATAATTAGCACTTTATTGTACCTTTACATACAGCAAAATCGTTCGTTACTTCAATGGTTTATACTATCTGAACGTTCTACCGTGTTCAAAAATTTTATCATCCGAATAGACCTCTGTTTAATTCATTAAAATAATGATCTTCCTGTTAATAAATCTTATTTCTGATCGTTACAGATTATTACGTTGGGATATAAGTAACATTCGTCACGGACGTCGAAAATTTTCTAATTAATAATTAAATAACAATAACGATAAATATATTTAAGTTGAATTGCAATTTCCAAAGATTAGTAGCGACTGAAAAGGTGCAGTAGGTCAATGTTAACTGTAATACGCCTTGGATCGACTTAAATTTTAGCAACAAGAATTGCGATCCTTTATGACTGAACTGCAAATGTTTAAGCAAATTTAAATATATCTGAATTATTAAAAAAAAAAAGAATAAAATGGAAACCATAAAACGTAACACTAAATAAAAAAAAACGCTAATAAACAACAATAAAAAAAAGTCGTAAAATTGCCGAAGTTAAAGATATTAAATAAAACAGCGCAGTCACTCAGGGCATCCATAATATAGGTATCGTATATTACACTTTACTTCTATATTTTCGACAAAATATTCTTCAGTGTCACAAAGCAACGACCTGGTACTATTTCCCACAGTACCCTCTTAAAGAAGATAGAAATTACATCGTTAATTTATCGAAAAATATCACAGTCACTGAATACCGTGGAAAAAGTGTTCTATCACGACTAAACAATAACACATGCGTAACTCTAGGAGCTTCTTGGAACTCGGCCAGTTTTACGAATTCATCACGCTTACGGAGAATGTCTAAGAAAAAGAAAGGCCTCAAGTTTTTCAATCCCCAAAACAAAAGGGTATACCATTTAACAACCACTCTCCAATTTTGCTTATCCTTATTCGGAATATCAGCGCGACAGTTTCGAGCGATTACGTCTTTTTAGATATGTCCATGGTTCGCGGGTGACATCTTATGGAAACGGCGGGCTAGCACGGAGACGCGCACGCGCGCGCTGTTCCATCGAGAGAGACTTCGTCGTGCACATCTTGTATAAATAGGGACGGTGAAAGTTCATGCTGATAGTTCGCTCCGAGTAACAGCGGCGAGACACATGCGGCGTTGTGGTTGCGTTTTTCGACCCGTGAGTGCGTTCACACTGGATCCATTGCAGTGTCCTCCCACATTATCCGTCGACAGTGCATTCAGAGAGAAGCAGTCTAATCAACAGAAAATCCAGAACAAACACTATTTTTCATCCAACATTCAACCATCCAGAGTGGAATC